CTTAGTTCTCACGAGATTATCCGTGACTGGTCAGACGCTCTAAATTTAGTTTAGTCTAGAAACAAATACTCTTCGAAAAAGATTCTAATTTAGTGACAGATTAATATTGACGAGCGAGAAGCGTAGAAGTTATACGGTCTTTGCTAAATCCATAAAATCCATCAAACGCAATATCCATATATATGTGTATATATCTCCGCCCTTGGCTTATCTACTACAGGACAAAGGCCTTTCCGAATGTATTCTATTACAACGCTTTCCTCTCACATTTAAGTATCAAACCCTATATTCCATCTCTCCTAAGAAGAGACTGAATATTTCTCGGCTTAACCCACGCCTCCAAATCGCACAAAATGTCCAAACATCAGATTTTAATTTAAACACTTCTCATTGGACAGGGCTAAAATCTTTCTGCATCTATGCTTTCTGCCTTTTGAGGACCAATTAAGAAACCTTTTAATCCATCTATTATCTTCGTGGTGCTAATCCTTCCTACTTCCATTTTCTTTTGTTTAATTGCAATGATCTCTTAGTCAGTTCTCCAATCCAGATTGACCTCTTCTGTCCCGGTGTCAGTATTAGCATTGATTTTTCCATAGAGCCCTGAATCATTCAGAATATAGAATTAATTTAAAGCACTCCAAATACCCACGTGTATGCATCAGTATTCTATCTGAACGCACAAGTGATCACGTGATGTGTTTTCTACTACGTCCGCCAAAGTCAAACCGGGTAAGTGAAGCCGATTTTTTTTTTCTAGAAACCAGGCGTCTCCATTTCTTTTTAGACTTCACTGCTTAATTGCAAATTACTTGTGATATTTTCTATCGTCGGCCACTTGACATATATATATATGTATAATTTATCCGAAAATTATAACATAAATATGTTATAAGATCACTACAAAAATAGCCATTTTGTTTCAACACTTCTGGTGTTGAAGGTACATTCAACACCATCATTTGATAAGACACCAGAAGTGTTGAAACAAAATGGCTATTTTTGTAGTGATCTTATAACATATTTACTGTCTAGTAGAGACACTTAATAACTGAATGATCGTGATACACACACACACACACACACACACACACACACATATATATATATATAATTCAATTTATTTGTACATGAAAATTAACATTTTTTTATTAAATATATTTGGATGGAATCTATCTCTAATTTTCATATGTACAAAGTATATTTTTTACACTGTTTTATTTTTAACGGTAGTCTCTGGAATGTATCTCCTGTGTAAAAAGAGAATTGAGTATATATATTGTTGTGGATTCCGGGATGAAATCCGGTACCAATAAATAACAAACGCTAGGAATGAATATATGAAAATAATGTATTAACGTAATAATACAAACTGGTAAAGCAGGTTAGTAGTTCCAGGAATACGGGTTAGTAACAAAATATCTATACAGTCTTTGGTATTGAAATATCGCTGCATGAATTCTTACTGAGTCTACGTGCTCGCTCACTGTGACTCTTGCTCGCTACGTTCTGTTTGTCTGTCTGTTAACTTCACCCTCTGTTGCTCTTCCGGGTCTTCACGTAGCATTAGTAGATGTATATATTGAGTGAGTCCATTTGTGTAAAAAGGGGAGGACCCTCAACACACACACACACACACACACACACACACACACACACACACACATATATATATATATATATATATATATATATATATATATATATATATATAAACAAATGAAAAAATTAACTTATCCGGCACGTTTCGACCTCTGATGAAGGCAAATGTAAGAATTTTATTTTGCAACAAGTATTAATAAACAAAAGTACAAATATTATTTTTTTATAATTTTTTAAAATTTATGTAAACACCCACAAATCAGATTAACTGAAAAGTCTACATAAATTATGGAGATGTTAAGTGACGTAAATTGATGTCTAATCAACAAAACAAATACAATAGTCTGGATACCCCCCACCAAAAATAAAAACTGAAATGGTATATTAAAACATACAACAAAACCCTAAAGAAGAACAACTAATAAAAATAAAACCAGAAATTCCTGACCTACTCAGATCTGAAGCAATAAAAGTCAAACATGACAAAAGAAAAAAACTCGTCCAAGCTCCTAACAAAACAATTAAAAATCGCCTCTAAGGAGCTACGTAGCCATAGTTATATAATTTTAAAGAAAGCAAATAAAACCAATATCTTCGTTGTATTAAATAAAATTGATTTTAATTCAAAATTACTACAAATACTCGACGATAACACCAAATTTTAAAAAGTCAACAAAGAACCTATTAACCAACGGATACTGAACATCAACAAACTGATCACAGTCAACAATGCAGAAGACAACTTAAAACTGCCCAAAATAATTGGTGACGACAGACCAGGATACATGTATTGAAATGCATAAACCTAACTTGATTCAACACCGTCAGAACATTAAAAACTTAATACACTATACAAAGGACCTATTAATCATCCAAAAAATAAAAATAAATTCAGCAACATCACTAACTACGAAGTAATAGACCACCCAAAGAAATTATATATATATATATATATATATATATATATATATATATATATATATATATAAATTTAATGAAAAACAGACCATTTAAGGTATCATTACAATAATTTATTTCACCAAAATCCTTTTTAAAGGATTCCGGATAATCAGGTAACACTTCCAACAATGAAATGAGAGGAAAAAAAATATATATAGCGAAATGGACTAAGTCCGACAATTATTTTAATATATTTTTGTTTATACGTTATTTTTTAGATACAAATATTTATGTAAATGCTCTGTTTATCAGGCCGGCAAAATATTTGTATCAATAAAAATAACGTATAAACAATAAATATATTAAAATAATTGTCGGACTTAGTTCGTAATATATTACGTCTTTTGTTTACGTTAGGATACGCTTCGAGTAGATATAAGCGTTCGAGAGGAACCATGGGAAATTTGTAGTTTAAAAACAGTAATTTAACCTAGTTAACCAGACGCTTCCTCTGTAGCTAAATGGTAGAGCACGTCAGGCTATATGGCGGTTCTGTGTAGGATACTAGTCCGATTCCCGTCGGAGGACACATATTTTCTTTGATATGTTCTCGGACAATCAACCCGGTAAATGTTGTTAATACTGTTTATTATAAACAGAGCATTTACTTAAATATTTGTATCTATAAAAATAAGGTATAAACAATATATATATATATACACAGATGGAATAAAATTCCGATAAACAGAACAACTATTTTTAAAAAGTGATCAATACAAAGTCGAGCGAATAATATTTAAAAATTATGACATAAGAATGTTATAATATCACTACAAAAATAGCCATTTTGTTTCAACACTTCTGGTGTTTTGTCAAGTGATGGTGTTGATTGTAACTCTTTATTTTGCAATCAACACCATCACTTGACAAGTCAAGAAATGTTGCAACAAAATGCCTATTTTTGTAGTAATGTTATAACATACTTATTTTATAATTTTAAAAAATATATATATATATATATATATATATATATATATTAATGATAAAATATGGTAATCCGTATGGAATTTCCAGGTGGATATAGAGTTCTATGTCAAAAGGCAGAGCAAAATTATTATTAATTAAAGAATATCAAACACTTAAAATCCCATAGGTAATTTTTTATTTCATGAGAGCTTTAAAAAAAAGAAGCTCTCAATCTTCAAGACCTTCAAACAAATTTAAAACTCTCATGAAATAAAAATTATTACCTATGGTATTTTAAATGTTTGATATTCTTTAATTAATAATAATAATAATAATATTAATAATAATAATATATATATATATATATATATATATATATATATATATATATATATATATATATATAATTTAAATAAAAACAGACCACTTTAAGGTTCCATGTAATAAATTATTTTCACCAGAACCCTTTTTTATATATATATATATATATATTTAGTTTATGAAAACTAGTTAATCCGTATGGGTAGACCCAAGGAGGATAAAATCTAGAGAGCTCAATGTAAATCCAGAGTAAATAATTTAAGTAAAAACAGACCACTTTAAGGTTCCATGTAATAAATTATTTCACCACAGCCCTCTTATTCATAGAAACGGATAGAGATGTCAACTTAATAATTAATAATAAAAAAAAAATTTAAATAAAAAAGATTACTAGAAGTAAACTTATATTTTAAAATAAAATTTTATTCTTTTAATGTACATTCTAGGAAAATTTTTCTAATCGACTATTTCATAGAAAAACCCCAAAATTTAAAAAAATGTCATATCATACATCCTACAAACATAGACACACACACGCACACACGCACACGCATGTACATATTGAAAGCGATATATAATTGCTTTTAAAATTGAAGAACAATTTTTTGTTGAAAGATATATGACAAAGTGGGAAAAGTTTTCATGCGATGCGTTTCGTCCTTTAGAACGTCATCGAACTAAGTTTATGCCCACGTTGATGTGACTGTAGATGCGAATGTACAAAAGGAAGACTATTTGAATATCTTTCCTGTGTAGAGGAATCCTTCCTAATATTTCAAGATTTTTCTGTCGCACCTTATCGAATACTTCGTGTAATATCTGGAAAGCATATACAGCTAGAGTTGCTCACTCTGACAGAACGCAGGTCATGAAAATTGCATTTCATGTTCCACTGTCTTGAACATTATTCAAGCTCAGTTTCCCGCCTAATTCTTCGCTCTAGGCTCTATTCATTGGAATCCGAAATATCAATTTATGCGGCTCATCAAGCCGATTGTTCCATGGAGTTTACATTCACTTACACCTGGTTTCTTTGGCAAGATTACGAAGATTGGTATAATGAAGACCTCTGATATTTCATTATTGTCATATTTTGTTTATCATTTCGGTAACCTTATCAATCTTTAGGTCATCAAAGGTTGCCTGCATCTCTATTACGTTGCTCTGCTCGTTTTCATTTTGGTCGACCTAGTCTCAGATTTTAGTATTTAATGGTTCTTTCAGGATTTTATGTAATATGTCTTTCTTTCCTCTCCCGTTATGGAAGAATTCGCCTATTAGGTTCAATCATAAATAATTTATCAAATTTATTCTTTAAAAATTAAGCCACTTATTAGGCAGCTCTCCCACATCCCTTCACAAAAACCAAATATTACCTTTTTCTCACTAACCAATTATTACCTTATTCACAACAACCAATTTTTACCTTTTTCTCACCAACCAAATATTACCTTTTTTTCACCAACCAAATATTAACTTTTTTACACCAACCAAATATTTTCTTCAGACCAAGCAATTTTTGCATTTTTCTCACCAACAAATTATTACCTTTTTCTCACCAACCCATTTTTACTTTTTTCTCACAAACCAAATATTACCTTTTCTCACCAAACAGTTATTACCTCTTTCACATCAACCAAATATTACCTTTTCTCACCAAACAGTTATTACCTCTTTCACATCAACCAAATATTACCTTTTCTCACCAAACAGTTATTACCTCTTTCACATCAACCAAATATTACCTTTTCTCACCAAACAGTTATTACCTCTTTCACATCAACCAAATATTACCTTTTCTCACCAAACAGTTATTACCTCTTTCACATCAACCAAATATTACCTTTTCTCACCAAACAGTTATTACCTCTTTTCACATCAACCAAATATTACCTTTTCTCACCAAACAGTTATTACCTCTTTCACATCAACCAATTATTACCTTTTCTCACCAAACAGTTATTACCTCTTTCACATCAACCAAATATTACCTTTTCTCACCAAACAGTTATTACCTCTTTCACATCAACCAAATATTACCTTTTCTCACCAAACAGTTATTACCTCTTTCACATCAACCAAATATTACCTTTTCTCACCAAACAGTTATTACCTCTTTCACATCAACCAAATATTACCTTTTCTCACCAAACAGTTATTACCTCTTTCACATCAACCAAATATTACCTTTTCTCACCAAACAGTTATTACCTCTTTCACATCAACCAAATATTACCTTTTCTCACCAAACAGTTATTACCTCTTTCACATCAACCAAATATTACCTTTTCTCACCAAACAGTTATTACCTCTTTCACATCAACCAAATATTACCTTTTCTCACCAAACAGTTATTACCTCTTTCACATCAACCAAATATTACCTTTTCTCACCAAACAGTTATTACCTCTTTCACATCAACCAAATATTACCTTTTCTCACCAAACAGTTATTACCTCTTTCACATCAACCAAATATTACCTTTTCTCACCAAACAGTTATTACCTCTTTCACATCAACCAAATATTACCTTTTTCTCACCAAACAGTTATTACCTCTTTCACATCAACCAAATATTACCTTTTCTCACCAAACAGTTATTACCTCTTTCACATCAACCAAATATTACCTTTTCTCACCAAACAGTTATTACCTCTTTTCACATCAACCAAATATTACCTTTTCTCACCAAACAGTTATTACCTCTTTCACATCAACCAAATATTACCTTTTCTCACCAAACAGTTATTACCTCTTTCACATCAACCAAATATTACCTTTTCTCACCAAACAGTTATTACCTCTTTCACATCAACCAAATATTACCTTTTCTCACCAAACAGTTATTACCTCTTTCACATCAACCAAATATTACCTTTTCTCACCAAACAGTTATTACCTCTTTCACATCAACCAAATATTACCTTTTCTCACCAAACAGTTATTACCTCTTTCACATCAACCAAATATTACCTTTTCTCACCAAACAGTTATTACCTCTTTCACATCAACCAAATATTACCTTTTCTCACCAAACAGTTATTACCTCTTTCACATCAACCAATTATTACCTTTTCTCACCAAACAGTTATTACCTCTTTCACATCAACCAAATATTACCTTTTCTCACCAAACAGTTATTACCTCTTTCACATCAACCAAATATTACCTTTTCTCACCAAACAGTTATTACCTCTTTCACATCAACCAAATATTACCTTTTCTCACCAAACAGTTATTACCTCTTTCACATCAACCAAATATTACCTTTTCTCACCAAACAGTTATTACCTCTTTCACATCAACCAAATATTACCTTTTTCTCACCAAACAGTTATTACCTCTTTCACATCAACCAAATATTACCTTTTCTCACCAAACAGTTATTACCTCTTTCACATCAACCAAATATTACCTTTTCTCACCAAACAGTTATTACCTCTTTTCACATCAACCAAATATTACCTTTTCTCACCAAACAGTTATTACCTCTTTCTCATCAACCAAATATTACCTTTTCTCACCAAACAGTTATTACCTCTTTCACATCAACCAATTATTACCTTTTCTCACCAAACAGTTATTACCTCTTTCACATCAACCAAATATTACCTTTTCTCACCAAACAGTTATTACCTCTTTCACATCAACCAAATATTACCTTTTCTCACCAAACAGTTATTACCTCTTTCACATCAACCAAATATTACCTTTTACAAACAGTTTTCTTTCATCAACCAAACTTTTCTCACCAAACCTCTTTCACATCAACCAAATATTACCTTTTCTCACCAAACAGTTATTACCTCTTTCACATCAACCAAATATTACCTTTTCTCACCAAACAGTTATTACCTCTTTCACATCAACCAAATATTACCTTTTCTCACCAAACAGTTATTACCTCTTTCTCACAAACCAATTATTACCTTTTCTCACCAAACAGTTATTACCTCTTTCACATCAACCAATTATTACCTTTTCTCACCAAACAGTTATTACCTCTTTCACATCAACCAAATATTACCTTTTCTCACCAAACAGTTATTACCTCTTTCACATCAACCAATTATTACCTTTTCTCACCAAACAGTTATTACCTCTTTCACATCAACCAATTATTACCTTTTCTCACCAAACAGTTATTACCTCTTTCACATCAACCAAATATTACCTTTTCTCACCAAACAGTTATTACCTCTTTCACATCAACCAAATATTACCTTTTTCTCACCAAACAGTTATTACCTCTTTCACATCAACCAAATATTACCTTTTCTCACCAAACAGTTATTACCTCTTTCACATCAACCAAATATTACCTTTTCTCACCAAACAGTTATTACCTCTTTCACATCAACCAAATATTACCTTTTCTCACCAAACAGTTATTACCTCTTTCACATCAACCAAATATTACCTTTTCTCACCAAACAGTTATTACCTCTTTCACATCAACCAAATATTACCTTTTCTCACCAAACAGTTATTACCTCTTTCACATCAACCAAATATTACCTTTTCTCACCAAACAGTTATTACCTCTTTCACATCAACCAAATATTACCTTTTCTCACCAAACAGTTATTACCTCTTTCACATCAACTAAATATTTTCTTCATACCAACCATTTGTTACCTTTTTCTCACCAACCAAATATTATTTTTTCATACCAACCCATTTTTACCTTTCTCACACCAACAAATTATTAGGTTTTCACACCAGATAATTGTGGCATCAACATAATTACTTGGTTGGGAACTGATAACATTGGTAAGGTCGTTGATGAAGATAAAAACAAAGTAGGTCCAAGAATAAAAGAGACCTGGGAGACTCCTACATTAATGTGAAATAATCTAGATTATTTCCGACCCTTATTGCGATTAAACTATTGGATTAAATCAAATATTTTGACAGAGACACTATAGCCTTTCAGCTTATGAAGAAAGCCAGCATACTACACTTTGTTCAACACATTTGAGATATCTAAAGCCACAGCCTGAGCCATGTCATTCATACCTGAAATTGATGAATAAAAACTTAACGACTGCAGACTAGATTCAAAACTTCGTCGAAATGTTTTTCACCTAAAAAACTGTGTATTTTTTTCAAAAGGACTGAACGAGCTGACTGACGAATGGCGAAAATTCAATGCAAAGTTATACTTTGACGAATCTATCGGATTTACTATTGAGACATGTATAATTAGTTGTCATCAACATAAATACCTAGTTGAGAATTGATGATATCGGATTGGTCGTTGATGAAGATAAACAACAGATATCCAGGTATAGAAACCATGGAGACCCCACCCCGTATGTGAAATGATTTAGAGGCGTGGCCGTTCGAAACGTCCTTCATTATCCGATTTGTTAAGAATGACTAGATTAGGTCAAATATTCGCCCAGAGACAACACACCACTTGTACTCGTGAAGATGGCCTGTATGAAATATCCTGTTAAATGCCTATCAAAAGCCACATCCCAAGCCTTGTCGTTCTTATCTAAATCGATGGTGAAAACTTTTTCTAAGGGAAGCTATAAAACTTCTTTGAAAAGGTTTAACATAAAAAAAAAAACGCGCAATTTTACTGAAAAGGTATGAGAAAAACTGACTTATATATACCAACAAGTCATTGCAAATAGTGATGTATATATCTTCTATGTGTCGTGTCAATTCAGGATGTTGGCGATCATGGCTCTCCACCATTTCCTGTCCGAATTGTATTTTTTTAAGAATACATTAGATAAATAATAGATAAATCCTAGACATTTGAAGCCGGTTTCAAAAACAGGAGTACTTTGCAGCAATTGTCTCAGATGGACTATTTTTCCTTAGGATTAGTGACCCAACGTAATATTTAATTTTTAGATTATCAGTAGCAATTTTTATTTTTCCATTGTGATTATTCCCTCTTTAGATTTTATAAATCCCATCAAAGATCACATTTTCTATCCAGTTCCTCATATCTTTTAAGACATATCTGCTACAGTCGATCTGCATTTTTCTATTGTTGCACATTTCTTAAGTCAATTCTCTTTTGCTTGCTTGCACTTATATCTGATGTATTTCATATATTCTGTGTCATTTCTAAGCCACCTCATTAAGTTGAGAATTTCATCGGATTTTTTTTTTCCTTTGTCTTTCTTTCGTCGGAATGACTTCTTTTACTGTTGTCATTAATGCTTCCCACCTCGAGGTGTTCCACTGTGACCCTGACACATTCTGAACTTTTATTTGTTCTCAACTGCGGCAGTTATTTCTTTATTTTTGGAAATGGAATCGCTAGGGATTTTGTTGTATTGCAATTTAGGCATTGCTTTCGGCTTTTATTCTTTTATAGATCTTTTTTAGATTTATCTTTAGTTGGCATGCTTCCCCAGCTACTACAATCTTATTCTCTTCAAATCTAGGGTTCACCATTATCTCTATTACATATCCCTTTCAAATGCACTTCTTACCTTTTACTCTTACCTCTTACTCTTACCGATCATACAGTAACCTTCTTCAATAACATTCTACTTTGAGTGGCTCTTGCGTCTTCTTTAGGGTGAACATTACTAAAAGTTTCAAGTCTATAACAACTCTATCGCTATTTCAATGGCAAATGTTTGGATGTGATGAGATACGCACTTTAGTTCCACCAGTCCAGTACTTCATAGTGATTACTCGCCAGGCTACTTCCACGGAGTCGAATCACCCACATTTCTCCTGTATTCCAAGAGGTTGCTTTTCCGACTACTAAAATCTTAACTTGTCAAGTCTAGGGTTAACCATTATTTTTTCCGACATACCCTCACCAACTGCACCTCTTACCTCTTACTCCTTCCAATCATACAACAAACTTCTGAAATAACGCTCTCTCTAGAGGGCCTCTTGGACCTTGTGAACATTAGAAAAAATAAAATTTTCAATTGCAACTCAATTGATATTTCCATGGCAAATGTTTAAATGAGATCAATAGTTATTACTCATCAGGTTACGTCCACAGAATCAAATCATCCGCATTTCCCCTGTATTCCTATTGAAAGGTGGAAGTTCCACTCGGACAACTTTGTAGAACAGACTGCTACATAAATGCTTCCCTGAACACTTCAAGTCATATGTTAACCGCTGTTTGCTCTATACTCATATTTATTTCCTTTTTCCTCCAACAACCTTCTACCATGAACTGCCTTTGAGATTTGTGTTAGAATAAACTTTTTAAAAATGAATCCAGAATCCAAAACTTTTTATTTTTTTATTTGTAAGTGAAATTATAGAGATTAATATGTAAGAAAAATATTGAATAAACTATAATTGCCATAATTTTACACCCTTCTGCAAATTAATTGAAACAGCGCTTTAATTTCCTTTCTTTCACAATACGGTCAGTTTTAGACCCACTGGAGTGACAGGGTGTAATCGATTTATTATTTTTCCTTCAGATTAGCTCATTTGCAGTGTTGTGCAGTAATATGAATCTATTTTCAGGGTGTATGATGAAATTATCTGGCCTTGAAAAATATTGTGTCATCCGTGATTGTATGAGATTTTCATCACGCCCAGACACTATTGTCTCGATTGTCGGTTAGTTGTCCTATGTTCATTGTCTGCGATGGACGTTGCTCCAACGTACTAAAATTGTAACGCTACACGAACACACTGGCAAGCCTTACCAGTGAGCAAATCAAAGTATTATATATTGGCCCGGAAACTCTCCTGATTTAAATCCATTCGAGAATCTGTGGTCAATCTGCAAGGAACGAATTTGTGGAATGGACATACGAAGTACTAACAAGTGCACTGGGTCATATTTCATTGAAAAAATACCAACAAAAATTAAATAATAACGGAATTATTCGTCTTGTTTCAATTAATTTGCACAAAGGTATAGGTGACAAGGCCCTCCACATCTTCCCCTATAATTAATTTGCACAAGGATGTATGTTATGTTTGATGAACTTCTACCATAAGTGTTTCGATCATTATTAGATTACACAGATTTAGTAAGAGCTTTTACATGCAGCCATTATTTGTTTTGGTGACAAGCTTAATATGTTAGTCATTGCACATAGACTTCTATCAAATCCCGGCATTCTACGAAGATGCTATTGCCAGACTCGGCGCAGTTGAGTAATTATGAAAATCACTTAAGGAAATCAGTATAACTTGGAAGCCATTCTTTTATGGCGTAATAAGTGTTCGCTGAAATGAAAAACGGATGGCCAGGGATTCAATTTTCAATATTGTAGCTAAATACAAAACGACTGCTAAATATGCAGACATTTTTTTCACGCCATTTTTAACACATTTGAAATCTATATCCAAACTGAATCCGGACGAAATAAAAGACATAATGAAATATATACTAATTTAATCCATCTACTCTTGTTAAGACTAAACTCCATTAATCATTCAAAACATATCCTACACAGAAAGATCTGAGAGTCAGTTGATATCTATGAGTGATTAGATTTGAACGGTTATTGGCTGATTCATCAAAAATCTCGAACCAGGATTGATTATATTGTGTTTTAGATCACACTGACATCTAAATATTTACCTACCTGTAAAAATAAAATGCGACAAATTTATAATCAATGTTTTATCTTTCGGGAGTAACTGACCTTGAATAACCTTGAATAAATTTCTTGCATATTTTAAACTTTGAATAATCATTCGACTCACGCATAATTACTTAACTGTGATTGATAAACTGCTGCTCGATCTTGTGATGCATCATTTAAAGGTGATTTGCAGTCAACTTTGTGGGGATCTTCCCTTTTTATATAAGATGGACTCGTCCAAAGTATACTGACAGAGAGAATATCTGCGGTTGAGATACGGAGACAGACACAAGGTGTTCTCAGATATATATATATATATATATATATATATATATTACAACTTTACTTACAGAGACTTGTACATATACTTTCTACTAACCAGCATTCCTGGACGACTAATCTTCACTTCAAGTCTGTATTCTTACGTTTATTACACTTATTTTTCTATCTCAATTACTGGCGTTGTTTATTTATTTGTGTAGGATTCCATTCACGGAATCCACATTTAATCCCAAACAAGGCAGTAAAACCACAGAGACATAGTGGGGTTGCTGGGTGTGGAAGTGAAAGAAACAGAAACATTTCTCAGAAACACGAACAGAAGAGACTAATCAGACTGTTCAGGTGGCTAGTAGATAGCGATTGACATTCCATTTAAAGTTTTGCAGATTGAAGTTGGCTGGAAACCATGGAGCCTGGATGGAGTTCTACAAGCAAGAAGTACGAGTAAATAAACAGTTAACATAGAAGTCACGGGTACATCTAGATAACTCATCTGTAAATTGATGATACCCTCGTCGCCAGTCTAGGACTACGCTTACATTTGAAAAGCCTAAGGCCCTAACGCGAATAGCTTATCCGAACAATTACCATGAAAGAAATTTATAGAAAAGGCACAGGGAGGCAACATTACGGCGGTGGGAAAGAGACTGAAGCCGAGGCATCAGAATATATTGTCTGTGGAACGTAGTTATTCTCCGAGATACAGCCTATAATCAGTGGTAGAGACGTGAATTATTTCATATCTGAACTGGTTGCTGTTCAAAAACCAACTGTTCAATCTTATTTTCCACTAGAAAAGCTACGTTTCCGCCTGTCTTCTGATCGGTCTATCAATATAACCCCTAACCAATGAAACAACGTCTAATCTCTCAACTCTGAAC